TTTTGATTCTAGGGTCTCACGGGTGGGCGATCCGGGATTCGCGGCGGTATGGAAGGCACCGGTCGTCTGGAATCAAGCAGAATATTTTCATCAGTCACAGTCGAGCGATTCGGGTTAAGCGATTTTCCAGTGATTGAGCTCAGCCCATCTGTCAGGCGATATTCACCGTAAGTACCCCACAGTTCAGATTCAAGGAGAGAACAGAACCTGTTTAATTTTCGGAATCAACATTTTATTAACCGCTGAGATGACAATGGCGAAGCCATACAACTTCTTCCGACACTCAATTTCTGCCCGCGCCTGGCTGCTCTCTGTCTCGGATTATTCATTTTTTTTCATTATCCCATCGTTATTTCGATAGTATCAAGGGTAAAGACAATATTGGTAATGATAAATCCAAGTCGAACCTCTAAACTATTTTTTGTAGTTGGTGTTGGTTGTGGGGTTAGCGGCTCAAAGTGTGATTATAGGGGTCAACTTTTCCTACTTCTTTAGACTCGGGACTACAGACAAAGTGTCGCACATCTCAGGGTGAGTAATCCGTCGTGTAGAATGGTTTCATGTTCCTACATCCTCATTCTCATCGCACATTTGTTAGTATGTAGTAAGAACGGTTTGTCTCGTTTATGTCCTCTCCAGGCGAGAACCTGCTCTCATTGATAAGGTTCCAGACCGAATACCATCTACCAGTTAGGCAGGAGTCATTAGCTCGAATGGATACGGTACGTCGGTGCAGACGTCAGACAACAGTTCTCATACCATTATTATTATCATCATCATCATAACGAAACTCATGTTGTATCTTCTTTCAATCTCTTCTCTGTCGACAAGTTTCTATCATCGTCACAAGAAATTACGTCTGGGAAGATGACGGACCGACACGAGAAATCTCGCGGTGAGCTCGGACACCTGATACCGGTGTTGGCGGTCCTCAAAGGTTCTCTGTTACCATTTCCTCGACTCGGCGACTACTCGCTTTTGAGGATCGAGACGAACGAGTTTCGCGATCTCTCCGTTTGGAGTGAGCGCTGGCTGCTCATTGATTCTTGGGGCATCATGCGTCCGACCACGTGAGTGGCTGGCTACATAGTGAGGCTGCTGCGTCCAGGATGGACGACGAGGCCTTGTCGTTGGCAGCAGAACCGGTCCCGCCAGCTCTCCGTTGGACTTCCCTTGCAGCGGCACGATCTTCCGCGATATGAACTTAGGCATTCAGACCAATGTTCCTCTCGCAGAACAAGTTTCAATCATCACAAAACAACAGAACGATATGATCTCCAAACAACAGCGCGCAACTAGCATTCAACATATTCCAGCGACTCCAGCACTGTACAATATTTTTTTTGTTCTCTATGGGATCGCTAAGAATTCAGCTTCCTTCTTCCGTTCTATTCTTCACCACAGATTGTATGTTTGGTTCGTCAATAGGCAGGGCTAGTGATGGCGGCTCTAAGGAAAATCAGACGATAACAAGGTTCCCCCCCCCCTCTCCTCGTGATTTCGGTGATCGGATTGAGGTGAATCGATTTGGATCAGTTGTCGTGGGCGGGTTATCGTTCCGTCGTTCAATCGTGAGTTCGAGCGACGTCAATCGCAAGATTTGTTCCATGGAAAAATCGATGCTTAATCCCGAACTCGATTGCTAGTTTAGTTTCTCCTTCAGCTCCAAGGGGTCAAGAGGGGTTTCGAATCAAAGCTGAATGGCCGATTGAATAATTCGATGCTGAGTGAGTTTCCATCGTCTCATACGGCTGGATCAGAGCGGACAGCGTTGGAAAGTTCAGCATCGAAGCGTAATGAGGATAGATTTGAGAAGTCAGAATGAATTTCCACGATGTGTCGGAGGCTCGAGAGGTCAAACTCTTCAAGTCCTCCTCGGATGCGGCAGCGATTAGGTCAACGAATACAATCGCGTATACTTCACTTAATTTCTCGTAGAGGGAGTCTCTCGCTCGGCGACTCTGGAATCAGTCTATAATCATTATTAGCTGACTAGCTCTCGAGATGGTTTCTGAGTCCGCCCGGGATCAACACGTCACCGTCAATTCCACCATTTCTTCATCTTATTCATTTCATCTCGTACCCCCGCTGGATCGTGAGTCCTACCTCCTTAGTGAATGACTGAATGAGTGTATGTTAGTGGGTAATGACTTGATGTCGCGAACTCCAGATGTTGAATCGTGGCCGATTGGCATCAATCCACTACCGCGGTCTTTGATCTCCTATCAGTGGAAAATGTTCTTTCTCTTGCGCATGCGCGTGGTATGGGTTGAGAACGCTTCTCCGATTAGGCAATTTTCGGCGTGATGACAATGATGATTTCAAAGGGGTTCCCGACCCCTTCAAGCCACGCCGATCATGAAGACGACACATGCTCTAGCATCCATGATGCTGACATGGCGCGTCTAATCCGAGAAGGTTTTCTCAAAACGTCTCAAGTCATCCGTGCACTCGTAGCTCAAATACTGAGAATGCTTCTCATTTCTTCAGATACAAGTTGATAAGATATGGATAATAGTAATAGGCCTGTTTCTAACTCAATTGTAAGCCCTCCAACGGCGCACTTCGGTGAGCCTACATAGAACTCATACCTTGTTGTCAGCTGTCGGATTTTTTTCGTGAACGCAAAATTGTTTTTTCCTCGTCTCCTCCTCAACGCAAATGGCGAAAATTGTGACGGCGGCCCGAGCTTCGCTTTGTGTGTCATGGCTCACGCATGGGCAGATTTCATCAACAATATGAATGCGTCCGTTTTTGACGTTGTTTCCGAACATTTCCATTATCCGGTCATCATGATCAATCATAATAACCGATTCAGCAGCACATCAGTCGGACACATTCAGGGGACCAGATTTGAGCTGAGCATACGCGCCCTCGATTCCTTAACCCCTCCTCCCGTCAGCGGAATATGTGTATGTTTGACAAAGCTCCCTAATGGACTTGTCTACGACAAATCTCACTAGCGTAACAGTTACTGCGGAGGATTGTTGTCAAGGCTCGCTGTCGGTAATCCTCTCTTTCCCTCTCTCAATCATTCTACGTCCTCAAACTCTCATCTATTAATCGTCATCGGCTCATTTACTTGTCGTCTTTAACCTTATTCCGTGTGTTGGCCGCCAGCTCCATCGCTTGGCGGCAGAGACTACAGCAGGTGCAACAGGACGGACATCGTTTCACCGTTTCCAGATCCCAATGACCGCCTTTGCGCGAGGCATTGCCGCATAACGTGCATGTAACCATAACGCACTTGGACTCGAAATTGCCCGTCGAGCCTTTTTTTCCGCCGCCCTTCCCTCGGGCGCCGCCCTTTCCACCCTTGCCAGCTGCTGCCTTGGTTCCGCGGAGTCCAGGCGCGAGACTTTGTTTTCGGGACTGAGGTCCCGACGGTGGCTGAGTAGGCGGCTGCGAACCCGATTCGAGCAAGTTCACTTGGGTGGAGGCATTGCGAACGGTTTTCGTTGACGAGGATTGAGAGACCGACCTATCGTGCGAGCCTGGGGTTAGTGCGCACGACGATGGTGTCAAGGCACTGGTCGCATCGCTGTCTTTTCCGGTCCCCTGATGATGGTTCGTACTATCTAAACTGTGGCTGTGACTGCTGCTTGAACGACTCCTTCCGCTAGTGCCTCCTTCTCCACCATCGACCATCTCCTCCTCATCGTCGTCATCATCATGATCGTTGTTGTTGTTGTTGTTGTTGTCATCCTGTTCCTCTAAATCCGACTCCTGATCCAACTCTTGTGCCTCGTCGGCGTTCCTTTCTTCGTCGAGAAAGAAATCTAAGATCGAGGTGGTATAGTCGGAGTAGCCCCGCGACTGCAGCGTGCGCAAAAACAGAGAGTTCGTTAGACTTCAACAAATCCTCCGTCTTCCCGAAGGACTCCCATCGAACGGGGTGCACGCTGGAGACCTTCTTCAAGGAAGCCGCGGTAGCCTGATGGGGGGGGAAGCTTCCGAGAGAACTAAAGGGATGCAATGCTCGGCAATTCTTAGCTGACAGGCTTCCTTTACATTCGCATGGAGCTTCCGAAGGGAGAAGACCTCGAATCTTCGCACCTTGGAATTCCTCTTAAACTATCCATAGCTAAAGAATGACGTGCAATGAAAGGAAAACACAGCAGCGTGAAAAAATATGTGAATTCTAGTCTGTGCGAAATCGAGGACGACCATGGCACGAAAATCTCGTTTGGTACAAAATAGAGCTCCGAGCGCGAGATCCGTTCGTGCCCGGATCTACATCCGCGAAGGAAGAAGATTTAGGAAAAGAAGAGAGAAAAACGGCATCAGTTGATGTCGCGGGAAAGGGAAGCGCTCATCACGACTCGCTCGGCTGGCCGCCTGATAGGCAGGGATCCCGAGCAGTAACCAAAACGAGAACCGGTCGAGCGAACGGGGCAACACATAATCTCTGTTCCAGTCGTGTTGATCCTCCACTAACGAAAGAGCACAGTCTGCATTTACACTGCCTCCCATCTCGAGCCCGGAGGAGAAATTCGCGCAAATTGAGAGCTCCAACTCTTATACGGGAATACGGCAGGGGCGAGACCTCGAAGGATACAGAGCTCCGGGCTTCCTCGAGCTCGAGGATGTCGCACTTGTTCGTGCAAAGAAAATATGTATGTGCGGAGGCCTCACCGAGCTGCCACGAAATATGAAAACAAGAATAACTCCCGCAACTCCATGCCTTCTACCTAGCACCCTCCGCATTCCTAAGCATGAGGGGACTGCGATCTACATGGATATATTGTCCGTACGAGCAGCGCTCAACCCGCGGAGAATGTCAGGTACGGACGAATATCAAAGTATTCGAGGAGGATAGCGTAAACGAGGGCCACGGGTACCAGATGCTCGGTCGCAAGGCTCAAACCTATTGCGGAACCATACTAGCCTGATTGAAGCTCGTTGAGAAAACTACCATAATATTCTAAGGCAATCTTCACCCGACAGGGACAAGAACGTAAAGAAAGCAAATCGTATGGGAGAAGTAACAGTGAATGTACTCACGAGGGCGCAGCTGGCCTCGGTCGGCCCGGAATGGCTGGTGGGGGTGTGGGCCGGTTGCCTGGGTTCGGCGGGGGCCTTGTCTGTGCCGGGGGAAGGACTCGCCGATTCCCTCCCGGGGATGTAGGCGCATCCGTCGGCTGCAAAAGATCATCCCTTACTTTCGACGCCCGCTCTTCTTCTATCGTGCGGAGTCGTCCCGAATACGTTCTTTGACGAAGGGTAAATGCAGCTCATATATTAGATACATACATCTAGGTTAGAGACTGGAACCTGGTCAAACGTCAAGAGAATCGGCTTACCTGGCTCGCTGGCAACCAGTCCTGCTTCACCGGTGGAGGTGTCGGCTGATAAACAGTCGCCATGGACACATCGCCTGAAATGAGTAAATGTTCCAAGTGATCCGCGGGTGAGATTCGCGCAGTCGAAGCGACTTCGAGCATGAAATTCATATAGCGATTTCAGCGCCGAGCGTTGCGGTTCCATCGAGTTCCCCACAGGAAGAGCAGTCATCTTCGCCCGAGGCAGCCGGTAGAGACGGCGTCGCCGAAAACCGCGGTCAGCAGGACCCAGGCGAGAAATCTCGGGTTTCCCCTATCCCTCCAGGGGAAAACTACTTGGAGTCATTGCGTCAACATTTACGGAATTCTCGCAGAGAGCCCGAAGAGCTATCCGACACGTAGCATTCCCTCGAAACGGTCCGCGACTCGGTCTGGACAAACGTCATATATTTGGAGCTGCTCCGGAATCTCCGTCAGCGGGCCTGTGTGCTCGGCAGTAATTGAGGATCGGCGAAAGTTTGGTTTCAATTTCAACCGTGCAGAGCCTTCTACGACCCCATTGACACAGTTTAGAGGAGGAAAGACTCTGAAAACGCTCCACTGAGGAGTCTCAGACAGCCTCTGGACACCGAGTAGTAGGCCGGCGCAGCAATCTCCGGCCAGACTTGCCTAAAGAACTCTCCCGAGTCTCGGAAGAGCGAAGCTTGCGTCAAGGTCGGCGGACTAAGTACCCGGAGTGAGGATCTAATATTTTCGGCGAACGAATATCGTGGGAGGGACGAAAAATTCTGAATGGCAGCTGTATGAAGAATCCGAAGACCTTGAAAATCCCCACAGGGACAACAGAAGCACTTCGACTTCGATTGCCGACCGCACAGAGTTCAGAGAGCTGGAGTTCCCTTGGGACTTGATCGAATGCTGTCAGATTGGAGGATAGGAGCCATCGGGAGACGTTCGAGGGACAGATGTCTTCCGCTTCAGCGTCCCTCCTCTCGATCCACCGAAAATCGTTCGCCCGCTTCTTTCCGCTTGATCGAAATTCATATAATGGTTTTCTACCGCTTGTTGCTGCTCTCTCCACTCACGTCCTCCGGGTATGGACGAGCCAAGCTCTGGCTCTGGGGTGACTAGCAAGAAGTCTACTGAGGGGTTTGCCCCTGGATTAAATCGAACTGTTGCTCCTTATGACTGACTCCGGACGAAGACGCCCGCTACTCCACCCAGTGACCTCCGAGCGGGTAGAAGCTTCCTGATGAAGTGTCTTCCTTGATCGCGCCTTCATCTCATAAACTCAACTGGATTCGTGCGCGCAGGTCCCCGTGAGACGGAGAGGTCTCCTATCGATGCTCAACGGAGTTCTCAGACGCGCATTCATCTCCGAAGATCAAGCCTCGCTTCCCGGCTCTAGGGAGCTCCCTTAGGAAGAAGGAAGCATTTTCCCCGACAAGCGCTAGCTCGATTGATCGAACGACATACCGATAATCTGGAGTGCCTCCTTGCATGCGTGGTACATGCGGAGCATCTCCTCCCTCCTCTGGGCTTCCTCCGGAGACTCCTCCATCATTTGCGACTGGTCTCCGCTCGCATACAGAGCCGCAAGGAGCTCCCCATAGATGAAATCCTTGGTGTTGTTGATGGTGAGGTGCATAATGGTCTTCGGGACCAGATCGCGGAAGGTCTTCGTGATGATCTTCATGTAGGAATCGACCAGATTCCTGATCGTCTCCACCTGAAAGATTAATCGTTCGTATACGCGAGCCAGCCCACGAGAATGAAGCGCTCGGCCGCACTTATTATCAGAACATCGTCCGGCCCTGCGACCTGTCGGCGAAACTCTTCGACGTTATCTACTTTTGCAGCTGGTATCCATGGTCAGCTGCCGCGATCGCTTCGCTCGGGGGACGATTCCGCTATCGACAGCACGGAGCGCGTCGTTACTTGACTGACTATGGACCCGGCCGGAAAGTTTCCGGGAGACGAGTGAAAAGTTCTGTCGACTCTCAGCTATCGACGACAAATCACAGCCGTGCTCCGGTCCCCTCACCAGAGGGAGGTCTTACTCCGAGCTCGGAGAATGCGTCACAAAAAATAGTTGTGGCTGCGGCGACAGCGAAATCGAGACACAGTTCCGCTCCGAGCAGACGAACCCCGGAGCGAGCATCGTGGACGAATTTCTGGATCAGCCCCCTCATCGTTTGGAAGATTTCGGGATTGTGGTGCACCGCAGACGCGCACAGGAACTCTCTTCCTTCTTTTCCCTTCAGCCAATCAATCAATGCAGAAGATTTTCGGGAGGGAAGCTCTTGCAATAAGCGAAATAGCTGTGTTCGGAGACTGTCGGAGGGAAAATTCCAAGAATTCGATCCCACCGTTGTTGCTGCGCGTCGTGGGGAGAAGTCGATCCTAATTCGAGGGGAGCGGGCGTGTCTGAGGGCCCTCCTCTATCGGAGCGACGGCGCGGACGCTAAAACGTGATCTTACCTGTCTCTCGAGTTGGGGATCCATGGATCCCGATCCGCCTTCGCTCTCCTGAGCTCCCTCTTCGCCCACTTCCGAGCTCTGTCTCTCTGGATAGACTCCCGCTCGAAGGAACGACGCCTACAAAGAGGGAATCGATTCGGAGTCAATAGAGATAAGCCGACGTCGAGCAATGAGGCTCCGCTCCGCCTTCCGCTACCCGTTGAATGCTGACAGACTTCGTCGACATCTCACCTTCCAAGAGTCCACATCCTCCTGATTCTCGCAAGACAGCTCCAGCTGTTTGCAGTCCTTGTACACGTTCCTCCAGGGTAAGCCGAACGATAGTTAGAGAATTCATGGCACGCAAACGACAAAAATGAAAGCCAAAAAGCGGGGGCCGATTTTTCCCATGATCCGAGAGAGAGAGGTCCAGAGGGCGAATTCGATGTTTGCACGTAGTCGATTGAGAATTAGAAATCAACGTGGGACCACGCATCGAGCGAAAGAATACGTGGAATTCGGACCGAGTTCGAAATTAGAATGGTTGGACGTGGGGCCGGTGAACAAACGCGGAGATCGTCGAACGAAGTCAGAGGGACACCGTTAGGATGCGGGAACGAGGTCACGTGGTCGGGTTGCAGTCGGGAAGTGAGGGACAGTGGGAGTGGACACACAGAAACGAAGATTTATGGTGAGTTTTGTTACAGGGCGAGTTCGTAGATCCGTTGTAAGTCGAGGAGCGGCATTGAAAAAGAGAGAAGGAAATATGACATGTAGGTGGCTTTGCGATGAATAAAATATTCCACGTGTTACATACGAGAAACAATTAGTCGACATCTCCATTGACAGCCCAGGAAAAGGGGGGTCCTTCGATAAACCCTCCCCGCTTACAATTACACTCGAGCGGAGTAATGCTCAGAAAGACAAGACATGAGTACGACACAGGATGGTCGAGGTCGATTTCCCATCTCAGCAGCGTGGAATTTCTATTATCTCAAATTGAACTCTCTCTATTATCTCATTTCCATGAACGATTGATAGATAATTTGGAAGTGGCGACAATGCCTGGATCCCCAGAAGGATCGACCCTCGGATAAGAAAAACGCTCAGGGGCGAACGATACAGCGACAATTGGTTAGTTCGAAGGCGACAGCTCTCTAAGCGTTAGTTCCATGTTAAACTCAACTTGCGTGATACATACACGTGGCTGCGGAGTAAGTAACAATGCTTTTTTAGTCACAGGCGGCAATTGATCTGAGAATGATTATGTGACACCGAGATCATCTTGGTCAATGATACAATAGGAGACGGTCAAGAATCAACGTCTCCAAACTGAACACGAGGCACGTGGATTCGACATCGGTTCGCCGCCGCAATACGCTTCTTTTCGATTCACGTTCATATATGAGAGCATTATTCCGCAGGAAACGAGATTGACAAAGCTTACGCGTAAAAAGCTGTTCACATCGAACACACCCCATGCTAACGTTTCTTCCACTGACCCGATACCCTTTCGATTTCCCAGCCCCGAGTGCCTACCTACGACTAGCAATATGGGTCGAATCTGGCTTCGGCCGACAATACCAACCTCTGATCTGGGTTGAAGAGGGCAAACGTATTCTTCTTGCTCATGAAGCCCGCTTCGATGTCCTTGATCTTCAGACCATCGAGGGACAGCATGTATTTCTTCTCCTTCTCCTCCTCGTCCTTGAACCAGGATAGGGACTCCGACGTCAGCACGAACCAGTAATCCCGGGAGCCTCCCTTCATGATGCCCAGGTTGTGGATGCACATGTACCCCTTGCGGATCACCTGTGAATCACACGAAGGGAGAACGGCATTAGAATTCGGAATGGATCCGGGACTCCATGCAGAGATCACCGAGGAATCGGTCCGATCTCCCAGTTAGTAAGCCGAGTATAGATATTTTTGGGCGCGAAGCAGACAGCTTTTCCCAAGGACGACATCACGTTGGGACCAAGTTGTTAGTTTATTGTAGAGAATCCACACATCTCCTCCCGATTCCACATCGAAGCGATTCCTAAATTTCCTCATCCAAACCATGGAACACTCCGCCACGTTCGTTGAATCGTTCGGTAGAAAAATCCATTCGAGCGGAAGGCGACGAGGCGGGTTCGAGAGGGTTTCCGCAGGAGTACTGCATAATTTTGCTAAGCGAAAATCAGAGTATAGGAATACGGAGCAGTGCGCGGACAGAGAGGAAAAACGGAAGTGTTTCTCTCTTGAGGCTCTCCGAGGACGTTTTTTCCGTTCATAATAATCGGCGAGGAACAGCCGTGCAGCAAATGACGGTGGCGACGGAGTTTCCGCTCGAAGGAACCTCGACCTCGGAAAGCTTCCACCATCGGTTGTGACCTATTTGGAGGTCTTCGAGCAGGGCCAGAATGAAACCACCGAGTTCAATGGCGTACAAATAAAACTGATCGGCCCGGTAAAACAAATGCTGTCCATGCCCATACTTTTTGGAGCGAAATGAACATCGATGCCGACGGGGTTCATAACTCGTTCCGTGTCTCTCTAACGCGCGTTTCTCCCGCACGACGGGGACGTGAGCGCCGAGGACAAACGATGGAGGACGACGAGGTAGCGGCGGAGGATGCTCGGAGCAGTCGCTCCTGCGACAAATGGAATCGGTGGCTGCGAAATAAGACGATCCGGCACGAGGGGACAAGGAACAAAAAACTCTTTTCATGTCGAGGATCGCTATCGGAGAGAAGGTTTTCCCGATGCCCGGAGGCTGCCGAAAAGATCGCAGAATTCACTCAGATCCTCCTATCCGAGGTGTCCCGATACGCCGTCTCCGAGCGGCGCAGAAATAATGGATCAAGCTAAGATCGGACAGCTTCGTGGTGAGAGGCTTCAATCCATTCCATGTCGTCTGCTGCTCCGGCACACAACATTGAAAAGGAAGCCGCGGGCCTGATTGATAAATTATAATAGATTCGGTGAGACGAGCTTTTTTCTCGAGAATCTGGCCAAGTCCGCGACCGCCGTCTTTGTCGCCGTATTCGAGCCGGAGCGACATCTGAAGCTCCCGAGGGTAGCAAGTCAGTTCGACACCATGGAGCCGAGGAATGAATGTTCTTCATCCAGGAATAATGGTAAATATCCCTAGCCAGAGCCGCCCACGTTTGCCTGTTGTACGACGGAACAAAGCAAAAAGCGTCGGAAAACAATTCTCGGGGGGCTCGTTGGTGGAGAAGCGGAATCTCGCGCCGTCGAGAATTCCGGGACGCGATGCCTTCCCTCACCGTCCATCTGCCGTCGCTGCGGCATGGCATCAGGACGTAGGAGCCTCTGGGGAGACACCCGTCAAGCTTGTGTTTAGCTTCCAGCATGGATGCTGAATCATATATATTCCGCAAGAAGCTCTGCCTGGTACCGGCCGAGATGTTTAGCCTCCAAGGCCGAAGCCTTCCCCTACAGCTGTCAGTCAGCCAACCTGACGTTCGGTGGTCGGCGCGAGTGTCCACGCCCTGTTGATAGTGGTCAGGGGGGGGAAAACACAGGACACGAACGTGTGGATCGTATTGTTGTTCTCATTCACTCGTTTGCCTTATCGCAGCAGTCCGGGGAGGGTCCGCCGAGTTCCTGTTCCGGGCCGAGATTCTCACCGATTCGCGGTGTGAGACCCTACACAGCGGCGCGCTCTCCATCGACCATGAATAAGAGCTCACTTCGGATACGGCTGTCCGGGGGTTCCGATCCGAGATTCACAGGATTTTCCTTCGCAATGAACACAGCCAGGTGGAAGGACTCGGGAATGTTCCTCGAGTCACTCCCACCGGCGCACGAGATGCATGGGGACCTTCGAAACATCGTTTGTTCGCGGCGTATTCCGCTGTGGTAAGGAATAGACGCCCGAGAGTAAACGAACAAATCGACTCTCTGGAACCTTACGATCAAATTGCGCGCCGCCCATCCATAGGGCAATCGCTCCCGACAGAGGCATTGGGACTACGGAAGCGCCGCATGAGAATGCTGGCTCTGCGCGGTCCGAATTCCTGATGGATTTCCCTTCGCAATGCCTCTCCCGATCCTCGAGCGGAAATCTCGGCCGATGGATAAATCCTCAGGAAGAACTCCTCTCAGAGTCCACCGATGAGCAGCAGCGTACTCGATTCTAAAGTGCATTGTTCGGAAAAGAAACTGTGCAACCGTTCGACCCACAATATTTCTCCGAAGGCCGCCTCCTCGGCGTAAGAGTCAGAGGAGCTCGGATGCGTCGGCATCGTCAGAGTGCTCAACGAGAGAAAAGAAAGGAAAACGAAGAGTGGTACACGAGTTCTTCTGACATACACAACAAAATGATCTGTAAGGATACTCAATGCTTCTTCGATGATTGAATTACAACAAATGCTTCAATGAAGAAAGATTCATACCATATTTTTCACCTGAAACAATGTGTGCCAAGTTGTGCTTAAAATCGATCAGGAATGTTTTGTGTTGGATAGTTCTGGTTCTTGGCGAGTAGGCCATCCGATGATTTACGAGCCGATACACGAATTGGACCCGTGATTCCAAGAATGGCTCGATGAATACTAATGTCTAATGTCTAACTTCCCCTTCCGCTCAGATTCATTTCTTCTTCCATTCATTCGTACCGGCGCTCGAAAACTCCCGCGACTCCGACTAGGTCTGTTCGAGTCTCTCACTCAGTACTGAACAGACGAGCTGGCTCATCGGAGCATTCCCCGCTGCTGCACTTCGGTATTTAATTATCTTCACGGAGGAGAGGGAAATTCGGATTGCGTCTGCTTTGAATCTGATTTGACGTCTTGCTCTGTCGCGGAGTCTTGGCAATTACGTTTCGAGGAAGTTCCTTGCTCGTCCGTGACAATCTCGATAAGCGGCGTCGCTTTTCAACGTTCCTCCCCGCACCGTTCCACTTGGAGCAGTTCGTCGATCGTACGAGAGCAGATCCAGAGGGCGAATCATAATAATTGGGAATATGACTTCCCTGGACGAAGCGAACGAGAATAAGTATGACTGACTGAGCGAGGTAGACGCGATGTTACCTCCTTCGTTGTGATGCCTGGCTTCGCAAGGCTCAGCCGCGACTTGAGACGAGTTCTCTTTCAACGTGTGCAGTAATTAAGACTCAAAGCATCTCAGTGACTCTTCCCGACTCCTTCCGCTTCCATTCTACACAGCTGCGTACACACACACAGCTTGTTATCGGCTCCGAAGCCTCATGTTACCGAAGCAATTGAGGCCTGAGTCTTAAACGCTCCGGCTGGATTTTTTCACGACCGATCGAGGCTCGGAGACCGCGAACTCGTTGAGATATCTGATGACGACCATAACACGTTCTCCCATGGCAACGGGGCCGTCTGAAAGCTTGCGATAACAACGAAACAGAGATCTTCACTCACCTGGTTGCCGAGTTTCCTTGTGCCCTTGTTCTGGGTGGACGAATCGGCCGACTGCTGAGCGCTGCAAGGAAGAGGGAAAGAGAACGAATCGATTAATTACCATCGAACCGAGGGTTTCCATGAGCCGAAATATTTGGAAATCTAGGTTGTTCTCTGAACCGGCCAATCTGTCCATGACGTCCGTCGTTTCCCGTGATCAACGTCGCGCGTTTCACTCCGACCATGCATCGATCTCAGTGGCACTTCCTGTTCTCTATTCTCCGCCTCGAAACCATCGTCGACGTCGTGTCGCCGGCGACGCAGTGCTCGTCGTCGTCGCGACCGACTTCTCTGTCTTTATGCAAATGACAGCGATTAACAGAGTCGGCGTGGGAGGATCCCGCCTGCTCTTGCTCCCCGAAATCATCAAGCCATATTACCCAGATCGCTTGGTCCACTTCCACACTTTACGCTGATGCCCCGGAACCGCGAAGCGACTCGCTACCTTGCTTGCTGATCTCCCGCGAACTGGGCCGCGGCCGATTCATGAGCAACAGTCGAGTAGCGCTCTCCGACGACCGAGAAGCTCCGCCGGAGCTCCCCGCGACACTTTCCAAGGAACGCCCCGTCGTTCCCAGTCCGCTGAGAGGTTTACAGCCATGAGCAAGGTCGCGAGTTTTTGGCACACATCCCATGGAGGAACGATGCGGACGGCACTGTATCAACACTCTGGTCATATAAACAGGACGAGCGGCGGCAACAGGAGTTGGCGAAGTATCCGAACACTTAACCGATTCTGGCGGAATATCCGGGCAGCGGTGATCACCCATCGAAGAGTTCTCCCGTTTTCGAACACCGCAAGAATATGGAGCTGTAGCGGTCCGCAGCGTTCGCGACGCAAGGCAGTCCGAACACTTCTAGAGGCTGTGACCGTTCCGGGGGCGAATGATGGTATCTCGTCGAGATCGAGGCAATGCCGAGAACGGTAACGACGAGATTTCGCTATCGACGGGAGTCAGACCACGTTCTCCTCGGCTCCGGGAGAGGGAGAAAACGTGTCACTCCAATGCGTCCGACAATAAGTTGGCCTTGCAGGATTCCGCACCTCCTGGAGGGCTGCGCGAGATGCTGCTGCTCCTCGTCAAAGTCGATCCGTCTCTATTCCGAATCCTTGTCCCGTAGTTTCCGAGCGGGATGAGCTTTCCGGAAGCCAAAGCCCGCACTCGAGTCGCACAACATAATGGGGGGGACTACGCCGTCCTCATTCGTTCTTTCCAGAAAAGAAAAACTCTCTGTGCGCAGGAAGATAGCGAGCGTTTTTGGAAGGGTTCGAGAACGCCCTGATGTAGTTCTCCAGCGCGATCCCGCATCCGGCACGAAGGTTCGCGTCGTAACCGGCCGAGGTCTCAGAGGAGTCGTCTAGTTCACTCGGAAAGCAAGTGGAGAATCGGCATCTGATGCCATCATCGCAGTACACGTAGACAAGGCGTGCTCTTCTCTCGGTCGTAAACCCCCCTCCCCCACTTAAAGGTTGATTGTACTTGATTCCCTCGAGCACGGTCGGCCGTGAGAGATCTCATGGTTCGTTTGCTTGTGAGTCCGCGGACAACATGATAGTTAGGTATCAGCGATACTTTTGAGAAGCGTTGATGAGAGGATGTACCTTATAATTCTGCTCGTTTATCGCACGTACCTGGCATCCACTCTGTAGATAGTTCAATATTCAAGTCATCGAGAGAGTGGAGTGTTCATAGACAGTCACCAGGAGGTTTTGAGAAGCGGGATTGGTGGTGACACACACGGGATGACCGGAACATAATATATGGAAGATTGAATAGAGCCTTAGCTTACATCGACGAGACGATGCGAATCGTTTAACAGGCCGAATGACACACCAGGACAGTGGCGCAAAGTAGCCCATCGAGAGGAACAGTTCCCATAAAGAGCAGTCCATTGCGATCAGAGAATTCGGGGAACAGCAACGTACACGCAATTTGCCCTGCTCTCGATAACATCTCTCGAATTCACTCAGCTTTCGCATTCGTCCATACCCAACGTCATTCTCACCGAAGCCAAAAAACCAACTCTTCCACACCTCAACAGAGCAAACGACCAAGCAAGAGGGAGAAATCAAGCGATTGTCCCTTATGGGACACACTGTTAGTACCGTCAAGTTTCCACGCTGAATTCACGGCCGCATGCAGATTGCCCATAGGTCAGAGGGGAGGACGATGATTTTGGAAGAAACTACACGAAATCGAACGCTGCCCACGTAATCCTGTGTTTACTAACAGCTCTTCCCTTCTCAGAGAACGCGGGACGAGCTCCCTGTGAGTTCCGTGGGCGGAAGTCACGGTATCAGATCCGTGTCATTTTCTCGTCGACTAGCGACATGATCGGGAGCAAGAACAACACAGAGGGGGGGGGATACCCCACATTTACGCAAACATTCCGACCAAGGCAGGCAGCAGATCAGGCAAGCAGCCAAACACACACAGCGAGGGAAAGGGCCCTCCCGCTGCTGCTGCTACTGCTGCTGAGAGCGTTTCGAAGGACATCGAGAACTTGGGGCTCGTTGAGGCCACCGCTTGAATCGAACTCGTTGGATCAAGTGCCACGATTTGCCCGGCGGGTGCTGCTCACTGTTGACGGTGCGTTCGCGCGCTCGTTCGACGCTTACCATGTCCACCATTGTTACAAGCATTGGGTCTTCTGAGGCCCGAGCTGGCTCGTCGGGCGATACGTTCAACTTGACGTTCAGAGGTTGTGAGAAAGGACCGAAGGAGGGTGAGGGAGACACAAGCATCATATCCCTCACCACGAAGACAGTCACACCCAACTGCTAAATTGCCACCAACGCCAGCTGCCCCGCGAAAGTTAACACCTCAAATCTGATTGAGATCAACGCAAAGATCATCATTTTCCGTCCCGTGGACGTCTCGTGGCAGCGCTGACGAAACACCGAAAAGGCGGGTGAACCCGCAGCGTCCGTCGGGGATCTCACTGTTCTACTGACGGAGAACTCGGCAATCCTCCGCAGGAATCAATTTTGCATTCGGATCCCTTGGCATACAACATACAGCCTGTCCCGCAGGGCTTCTAGGAAAGGAGAAGTGCCTCCGGGCCCATTCCACGTGCAAAGTCCGACGAGCATCGGCTCTCTGATTGAGAAAACATTCCTCACCCGATACCTCTCTCGCATCTCGTCGGACATATATCCGAAGCATGAATGGTCGGCCACCCCTCATACCAACACATCTAGCAATCGGTTCGAGCCGATAAGCCGGCAGACATGAAGAAGCACTTTCGAACGATTCTTCGACTAGTGCGAGGAGGAACTTCCGCATTCTTCCACGAGGCGCGCTTCGTCTCTCAGCTCGTCGACTAGAGACTCTGACAGTCAATCGGGTTCGACAGCTCGCACTGCAGGCGCTGCTGGTCCCTCATTCAAGTCAACTCTCGACCGTATCCGGTCGTATTCCTTCAAGGAATTCCAATAAACCGTCCACGAGTCCGAGCGGGTAGAATTCCACGAGGGATCGGAGGAACGCCTGAGCCCCAGAGTTTGGACAGAATGTATCCGGGCTGTTGATTGATTGTGTACCAGTCTGGATCGCACGGCATTAAGCAATGAAATCACTCAGATGTCGAACGAAATCTACGTTTTCTGCGGCAAACGACATCTGAATCGACTTTTCATGGGAGGACGACTGTCCCGATGCCCGTGGTTGTCAGATGAAGAGCAGACCCACCCAGGAATCTCCCGCGTCCTCACGTTTTCTCGTGCCACGCGAGATACATGACCCGATGTCAGAGTCGAAACAGATAGTAAATCTGTCCACCTCGTAGGAGAAATCCCTGCTAGCCTCATTGGCACATCATTTAGCACATCGAGCAGCATTCGCTAAGCCAAACGGCGAGCATTACGTTACGGAGTCTGGCTCCCAGTATTGCATGTATGAGCAGATCGAGAAATTTCAATATGCGGGTCGCTCAACCGCAACCAATGAATTTCCTTTCGGTGGACAGCGGTGCAGAAACTGGAGGGCAGAGCACCGGACTAAGAAGATTTGCAATTAAGGGAAGACTGCAACGATCCTCATCAACTGCTACACGGTACAGAATTTTCCGCGACCATGATCATCTCAGCAAAGTAAGTATACAGGAGAGACCTAATCGCGCTCACACGCTTCGTTGGTAGCTTATGAGCTCCTCGTCTATCATCGATAAGCGTATCATGAAATAGCGGAGAGGATCCCTCGCGGAAAGGAACTTGTGATTTCGTTCCTGATTATGACAAAGAGTTCAGTCGACATCGAGCAGTTAGACGATCCGTGAGAACAGGTGCAAAAAACAACACGCATCGAATCAGAATTTCGCTAGGCATGAAAATTTTCAAATCTCATCGAGAGAATTTTGGCGGACGAAACAATAATCGCCTCAAACAAACGAGAGGAGCAGAAGAAATAATAGAATACATGAGGATGAAACATCGTCCTCGAGAGCCATAACTGAGAGTTTTCATTCGGGAAGCGGGACACTCACTTGGTGAAGCCGATGAAATCTTCGTGATTGGTGTTCATGTATGCCAGTTGTATTTCGACCAGCAAGGAAATCGTGTGCTTCGTGTGCTGCTCCCGCTCGCGTATGTGAGCTGCAATAATCGATGCTGTTGAGTTTTCGAGCTTTCCTCGAGGGTTTCAGCTCGGATCCTTCGAACTCCTCTCCCCCGGAAGGCCCCTGATACAAGTCTGACTACGTGGGACAGGAAAAAACACGGGAGCGGCATAATGTTCCGCAGCGTGATTTTTCAGATCGACGAATGGAATCTTTCGGCTGTTGCCTCCGAAGGCAGTAATAAGGCTTCTCTGGGCGACCATCAGCATTGAGCGACGTAATTGCATTGGTAATTGGGCCGACAGATGTGCCGTCTTATTGAGGACCAAAGTATTCCTCGCAGAAGGAGCAGCTCTGCTCCAGGATATTTTTCCTCAAAATGACTCGGGGACTCTCCGGGCCTTCGGCGACAGAATACCATGAAACTATACCTCGTCTCTGGTTTGAATGTCGCGGCATAACAGATACTTTTGAGAAGAAAAAACAGAATGATCCCCCAGCCTTGCGGGCGCGAGAGAATTATGTCTGAGAGAAAGTGGGAAAGACGGCAAAAACGAGGATAGAGAGAGGTAAAAACCATCTGGAGCATTTTTAACCAAGCCATAGCCTGGGGGGTATCGAGAAGAGCATAAGCACCGAATGGCTCATTTCTCTGTTCTGAGAGGTTTAGTGTCAGAGGTATCTTCCCGGAGTTCAACGAATGCTGAGGTTCTGACGATACCCTAGAATCGATCGAATCTCTTGTTTGAGTACTGCGAGTCGCAGAGGAACAGCGCGAAAGGCGTTCAGATGAGGCCATGCGAATTGAATGAAGCGCCCGGGAGCTGCATAGATGCCCCTCGGACAACTTTCCGCAGGGCTCTCACCCGAGAGGGAGTCGTTCGAGAAGCTCACGACCGCAAACGGTTAATTGGAGTGCGAACTCAGATACTCACAGGTAACTATCCTTTCGACTTCCTCTCGGAGTCGCGGGTAGCGGTTCATTCTCTCCGCACATCGTCGCACCACATTGCCCAACTCCTGCAGAGAGATCGCGGAGTTTTTGATCGTTTGTAGTTGAGCGCATTTGTGGCTCCCGCCGCAGCCGTGATCGTCATCTATGCACACGGTCGATCGCAGACAGGAGACCGACTGGACTCTGATCTTACCTGAACGACGAGATCAACGCATTTCAGGCTTGGCTCCTTCAGCTTCGCAATCTGCCTTTTCACTATAGCCTCGAAGGCCATGTCAGGCGTGAAAAGACCGACACGAATGCCGTGGATGTTCCGGATGGCAAAAGCGATCTCCTTGCGTAGCTCCTTCTCGTCAAACTCCATCTGCAGAAAACCGGATTCGAGAATCAATTGAATGTCGCGACCGAGTATTCCTCGATCCCCCATGCCCTAAAGAGTGGACAGCGCTCTCTCGCTCGACGGTATTTCTTCCACGAGAGGATTCAAACTCCGGAGTCGATGCTCTCTCCGATCCGCATTTCAGGGTCCAAGCGACCCTGAGAAATTATGGTCCAGTCGCGCGACTCCAGGGAACTCTGTCCCAGAATACTGCCTCCAAGAATCGATAACCTTGTAACGGTAGAAATTTCGTTCGACAGCTGAGAGGGAGAAGCCGTCTCGCCGGCCCCCAGAATGTTTCACGTTCCCGTCGTCGTCATCTTAATAGAAAAATCTGATTCAGCCGTCGTCCTTTCGTTCGCCCGCCTTCGCTACCGACTGAGTTCAGGTGCTCCCACCCGTCGGCTCATTGTTGTAGTCTCGGTAGCACTAAAACGGAGAGCCATTATTCTGCGCAGCTTCTTTTCATGCACCTCCTCCGTCAGACTCGATGCGGTGAGCGGCACGATCAGACATTCCGTTTACGCAAACCAAGTTTGACACTGAACCTCTGGAATTCCATTACGACCCGATGACATTCACGGCTTGACTGCGCTCCTCGAGTCTTTTGGCATGAGCTCGTAACCCGGGGCCCATGATCGTTGCGTAGGAGGCCCCGACCGCGAGAGGCCGGATTCCTCTCAAGGTTGGGAAAATGCCTCTTACAAGACTCCCATCCGAATTTGAGCCGATGATAAGCCTGAATAGGCTGATCAACAGCCGAATCCTCCGCGACTCGTCCGTATTCCCGTCGGTTTTTTCGCTGGAACCCTCCCGGAACTTTAAGTGAAAAGCGTGTTATACACAAAAGTTCTATCAGGATCGGTCGCAAGCCGTTGCCAGGGACGCATAGTTTCCCGTGATAATCGAATCGACGATTCGCATGGGATCGAATGCTCTTCCGAACTAGAGAGCATTCGATGAGGTTCTTGTGTCGGAAATGGCTGCGGATGCCAGGCTGAGAAGTAATGCCACCGAACGCGATTCCTGACCAAATTGGTTGCCGACCGTTCGCAGATCGAGAACGAAAAGCCCCGAAGAACCCATGGGTCGTAGGCGCTGGAGACGGAAACGAAGGTCTCGAAGTTTTATACGATATCAAGCAATGCTTCTGAGCGAGTGAGGCTGCGGTCTCATTCAGATCTGCCGCAGCCGTGCTCCTGGTCCCGACACGGCAATCCGATGCTGGTAAATAATGACGAGCGAGACGGAATCCTCTCCATGAACCTGTCTCAGTTCGTTGACCGCTCCCAGATAGGTTCAGTCAGCCGATCGCGAAATCGTCATGCCGGGGACCATTCGTTCCTTCTCACACTGATGCTTCGTTTCGTCCATTCTATCGAAATCCGCACCAGATAATCGATGTCAAGTCTTCATATGTACAACCAGAACTACAATATGTGTCGGACGCGTCCGGGGAGCAAGCGATCCCTGCGGAGGGACTCCGAGCAAACAGCATGTTTTCATTTCCTTGTACCGCATTACCACCATTCAGGCAAACGGGTCGGTGCGCAACAATCATTCTTCCCAAGAGAGGAAAAGCAGTTGGACGAAGGTATGCAATCGCCCCGATAAGTCACTGGGTATACCTCCCATGAGGGAAAATATTCCGCTCAGAGGATAGGATCGATGGAGAAGGACTTTTTCTCGAGAACGGAGGAGAAAGCCTCATCATAAATAGGCAGGAGAAAGTCTGTCTTTCACTGAGTCCACCGTTCGGAACAGGAATTACGATATCTCACCTTAACAATTTCAAAAGGAAATCTTTCGTGAAATAAGCGGTTAATTCGGGCTCCTCCGCTCAATTCGCTTGTGTTGATTGCAGCTGACCTACTGCCTTCGATATTGCGTTCGAAGTCCGTTTGCAGTTGTTGGATCATCTGCAGCATGGCCTTCGTCTTTCTCGATGGATCATCAGGGCGGAAGTGTTTGTATTCCTCCACCTGTTGGAAGTCCAACTCATGAGTACGACATTCCCTCGACGTACCAGCTCCCGTCGCTGGATTCTCAGGTCGAGTTCCAACGAACGATTCGATCGAAAACGAACCTCTTTCTCCAGGGTGAGAAGTTGTTTTTGCAATTTGTCACGAAGAGACGGGAGACTGTCCCGTATGTGGTTGGTCAACTGCTGATTCAAGACACGCTGCAAGAAGGGAGTGCCCAATCTATCGGCCATGTGCCTGTAAAAGAACGGAAGGATGGTTCTCTTACGAGCTTTCGGACTTTTCGTATCTCCGCATTTTTGTATGCCGATCGAGCCCAGCCGACCGCCCCAGCGCTCCGACGGAACGTCTCTCGAAGGTAAACTCGTATGGAAATACTTTACCTGTATGAAGGGTGAGAAAGGAAGAATTTCCGTTCGGAATCTAACGCCACTTTGATATCTTTCTTGCCTTCAATGTCCTGCAATTGAGCACGCTCTCGATTATTTCTATGTGGTCGGGAAGCTACGATCCGGTGGGGAATTCAAAGATGACGCCTGGGATTCTCATGGGAGGGAAGACAGTGAGCAGGTCGCCTGTACTCACTCTTTGGCTTCTGTTCACGACTCCGACGTAACCACGTCGAAGCGGAAGTAGTTTGTTTTCTAGGATATCACGGGCATCAGTTCCATCGTCCATGAGATCAAGCTTCGTGATCACACCAATGGTGCGGATACCTTAAGAAAGAAATCGAGTCATTCGAGCCGGCGATGACTTCGAACTTTTCATACCCCCTCCACGAAAACGATTCTCGGCTCGTCTTCTCGCCTGAGAACCGACATCGACTCCTGTTTCCCGCTCTCGGAACCATCGCGAGCCCTTGGAGTGGGTGCACGAGGGGAAATTCTTTCCAACGGCTTCCTTCTGATCCTAAGCCCCATCTCGGCTCGATGCCGGAGATCTTTACTGTCAGGTACCATAATTTGAGCAACGGAAGAGAATGTGAGGGCAGAAGCGCTCCGATGGGTGCTTCCGCAGAAGTCGATCCACGAGAATCGTAAGCCCGAATGGGTCAAGCACGTTTTCGGCGCAGCGTAGGTCAACGTCTTCGATCGCGGAGCAGAGCAGAGCCGAGCCAGAGGAATGTAATCGTATTCAGTTCTCAGAGTCGCGATTCCGGGTCATTTCCGCCGCAATGCGGCCGCTTCGATGCGATAGGCATGCCGATCCAGCGAGCGAATATGTTTGTAAATCATCATTAGCATGATGATGAACTCGAGTCCAAACCGTTCCGATTATTCGCTCAGCGAGGCCTGGGGGGCTCCAATTCTCGACGAGCTCTGAAGCCCGCGATCGGGTGAAACTAGGAAGCGTGAAATCTAGAGAGCTCTTGGAGATCGTCAATCAGACTCTTCAATCTCGAGGAGCTCCTTGGACATTCCGAATCCGTGAATTTGACACGAGACACTCGTTCGAACCGGGGAAAGGTCGAGAAGGTCTGTTGAGGTTAGTGGCAGTTTCCAGCGGGGTTCCAGTTAGTGTGTGATGCAAGGATCGTTCGTCCGCTCGCTCCCACACGTTTCCAAACCTGATGGATCGACTGTTCGGGCCAGTTTCAGAGAGTCAGACGTCGCAATGTCGGATGTCGCAGCATGCACGGCCAGGACGATGACGCTCGGTCTGGAGATGTACTGCAGTACGACTTTTTCTATAATCGCGGGGAGATTGGGGTTCTGGCCCGCGGTTGCGATGTGCGTCAGTCCAGGGAGATCCACCAACGTCAAATTGACGACTGAAATCACCAAGGTCTACCTAAGTAAACGTAACTCGAATGAAACTCTTTCACCTACCGTCAGGATCCACTTCCTTGGCAATTTTTAAAGCGTCAGACGTAGCCAAGTCCTGCGTGGCGGAAGTGACGGCCAGAATGAGACAGCTTTCTTTTTTGATGAATTGGAAAAGCATTTCCCGAATCTGGTGCTCAATGTCGGCGGGCTGATCACCAACCGGCACCTTGGTAAGACCCGGCAAATCGATAAGGGTCAAGTTGAGGACTGTTCCGCAAACCCCAAGCAGCGACGAAGAGGATTAAGAGGTGATGGAGGATCGATGGACGATGGGACCAGTGGGAAGATGAGGAGAATATATACAAAGCTCTGTTAGTACTACATCAGTGTCGAGGATAATTATTTATCACGGTTGGGTGAATTCTAATTCTCAATATCCATACAGTGAGTCTTGATTTGGATTGATAAACGAGGGAGTACTCGAGCTCGGTCGAAGACCCCGGAATCAAGGGTGGAGAACACAAGAGTTGATTCAAAAGCATCGAAGAAATCAGGATTAATGAACTCCCGCATCGAAAATTCTCGGCGAAAATCCCGCGGAAAAAAAACTCAAGGATTCTTCAGCAAACGATTTCTTCTCATTAACAAAGGGGACCTAAAGCCTCGAAGCAAAGCTCACCCAAAGCTCGAGTGGATTAACTACGGAGTCTCGCGCCCGCCTACCTATCGGAAACCGAGCTTACCGTGTGGAGAATATACTCGTAGATTGATTGGAACGGGGGAAATATTTTTATTTGCCCCCGTGACCCTGTCGGTTTCGTCCTCGATTTCCTTGCGCACCTAAAATGGAACGGGCCGACAAGGTTTATTGCTGTTCTCTGCGATCATCCGAGGGACGTTCATCAAGAGATCGATCGATGAGCTCTCATGGAGAGTGACCTCGTACAGAGATTTTCTCACCTCGTCGAAGTTGACAAACTTCTTCCCGCGGCAGTGAAGGAATTCCGCATACTCGGTGGGGGAATGGATCAATTGGAGGACGAGAGGTCTGCGGGTGACGATGCCAGATCCTCGCGGGAGGAAATCCCTGTAAACGAGTCGGATGAGCATTGAACAGTTGGAGCAGACAAGGATAGCGAATAGAACGACGCTCTCACTGTTCCCCAATGAAGAGAGGGTTCTAGCTCGTGGAACTATTGCTGATAGGAACAGTTGAACAAGTTTTCAACCGGAGCTCGTTTGAAAACTCCACACAAGGCCACAGTCGCCTACGAGCGAGCCAAGGAACCAGTGACTCGATTTTGCGACGTTCGGTGTAATTTGAACTCTGGCGCCTGGTGGCACTTCGCCACGTCAACCCTAATTCGTCCGAATCACTCCCGAGGCCATGCAAGAATTAAAGGACTGGCGATTCGACCCCGATATTGAAATGCGAAGCGATTTCCGTAATCGAATATCTCCTCTAGGGAAGAGAAAGCGGAGCGCGTGTTCGCTCAGCATTTCGCACGCGCGTTCGCCAGTCGAATACACGCTGGATGAACAAGTAGCTCCCACCGAAGGAACGTCCGATTCAGGATACGGTAATTCCCAACGGAACTTCAGACTAGCTGACCCTACCGTGTATTACTCATGTGATCGCAGAGTGACTTACCTCCCGACGAAATTTTCCAGGACGGAGCTTTTTCCAGCAGATTGACCTCCTACCACAGCGATTTGTGGCAGATCCAAGGCCAGAGATACGCCCAGGCTGGCGAAGGCATCTTGCAGCCTATTGACGATAGGGATAAGACCCTCCATGCCTGAATTCCAGTTCGTCATGTTTGCCTGAGAGCTGGCACTTCTCGGCAAACGATTGAGTGTTCGGATTGGAAATGGCTCGCGATGGTCCGAGCCTGGGGCCAAGGGCAAATCTGCTCGCTCCGATTAGTTGCTGCTCTCTCCGCGGTGAGATGCTCGTGAGTGTCGTGGTTTACTTGTTGCCTGTAAAGTTCCGATGTCAGAGAAGTCGATTGGAATCTCCAAGGGAAAAGTCGGGGACGATTCCCTTCCGAGAGCCTCACTTGGAGTTGCGCAGAGAGCTGCGCGCGCACTTCGATCGAGATCGGCCAAGGGAGCGCCAACTTTGAAACGGTCAATGCGACTCCCGCGACCTGTTATCGATGCTGGTACGATACGGGGTTTGGACCGTACGCATTGTCAGAACAGCTGCCCTGTCTCTTCGCTAAGCTTCGGTTTGAGAGCGTCGGAAAGTTACCCTCTCTTCCGAGCGATTCGAGCTCCAGTCCGAATCGAATGAAGCTCGCTTCTCCGCGCGACCCCCGCCGTCAGACTCCACCCGCAGCTCGGTGGCTCTCGTTCGACCTCACTCACAGTCAGCGCATAGAACGCCGCGAACGGGTCGCACATGTGTTCGCCGACTCGATGACAGATGCTCAACAAGTCCATCAGAAGGTCGACTCGTGTCGAATACCCACTCGGACGAGGATCGAGGATTTCGGAATCGTCATAGGGAAACGGCTTCTACTTTTCCGGTTTGTATGAGCTTCGAGGCCAATCGGGATTTACAGCTCATCGATAAGGAATCCCTATTAGGATACGGCGATCGGAGTACTGCTTCGAGGCAGTCACGAGAAATTCGACCGCTCAGCATAGAGCAGCAGCCAGCGAACGTTTCCCGTATTTCCTAATTCGTTCCAGTTTCACAGAGAAGGACCGTAGGAGGGATGAATTGTGCAGAAATGTATGACGTCGTTTGATCAGGCGCAGGAGGTGCTGATTAAGGATTTTTTCTGCTCTCACAGACCGTTCGGTATGGACGAAGTCGGAAGAATGATGGGCCAACCTCGAGCTATGCCGCACGATCAGGGATTCAGCTTCTTCCCAAAATCCGCGCTCCCTCCATCAACGGTGCACGGGAAGCCCTCCTTGAACTTGGGGCGCTCAGTTCCGATATTTTGAATCGTATGACGTTCACAATGATCGATATAGCCAATAAATGAGTTCGAGCGGTGACGTAAGTGGCCGACAACGGAATAGCAGAGAGCATTCGAAAGGGCTCAGAAGCGTTCCGACAGATCGACGTTTCTGGTCGCGTTCCCGCTTTGTATTGTTTATACGTTGTATGTGCGACGAATACCCCGGCTGTCAGACGATGACTCGTCGTCACCGGGTCCAATGAATCGAGCAAGAGGCAACATCATTCGAGATTCATCGACAGGGCTCACGGATTATTGTAGTCGAGGATTGAAAGTAGCCGGCAGGCTTCTAGAGCGAATTAGAGTACGCTCATCGGCACAAGATTAGAAGAAGATTCCAACAATAGGTTCACAGCGGAAAAATATCTTTCTCAAACATCCGCCGCAGTATATCGACGAAAGTTTCATGTTTCTAGGCAGTGCAGTTTCTCAACAGGCTGTTGACAATCAAAATGTTCGACGACCTGGCCGACGTCAGACCGATACTGGCTTAGACAGGTTGTGGCTCCGTCTGGCTAGAGCTGTCGCCGCGAATTCTCTCAATTGAGCTACAGAGCCGGAAATCCATCAGGACTAGGGCATCATATTCCTTCTGCCTTAGCGAAGGAATATCAGGCAAAACTCAATGACTCATGGAACCGCCCCGAGAGCCGCACAAACTCCCACAGGAAAAGCGCTCCACTCTGGAAAATCAGTCACAGAAATTGCCACATCGAGACGAGTTCTTACCTCGTGCTTGACCGAATTTCCGGCTACAGCGAGTTATCGTTTTCAACGAAACGATTCAACATTTTGCGGTCGATGTTTGTCCGACGGTGCTAACAGAATTACAGAAACAGTGGCAGGTAGGCTGGCTGACTGGCAAGCAGCAGCAGCAGCGACGTCTGTCTGCTCTTGTACCACCACAATACGACGACGACTGCCGGAGAACACGACGACGACGACAACGTACCCACCACCACCACCAGCAGTCAAGAGCAGCAGCGGCGGAGAGAGCACAACACAACGACGCCGAAAGGGAAGAGAGCAGACAGAAAAACCGCCCCCAAAAACCGGCAGGTGGCGCTCCGAATCGCCCCCGCCTCCCGAGACTGCCAAGTGAACACATCTTGCTTGTATCATTGTTGGCAGAGCTCGTCGGTTGAGATTCTCGACGGAGAAGGAGTTCTGAGATCGTAGAATTCACATCGTATCTGGATCGCCCAGGGATTCTTTGATCGGGAGTGGGACCCGGGGGCATTCACACAGATAAGCTGGTAGACAGTCCCTGTGATTCCACGTAGATCGCGCCACGCTTTCACGCGTGCCTAAGGATGACGCCGAGGGACCGTATGCTTGAGTTCCTTATATGTCGCCTGGACAAACTCCGCGTTTTTCGTTGAGTTAGCTATGTGGGCTAAGTCAGCCCGCCGCGAGGGGAAAATTTGTGCTCGAGTTCCGGGTCTTCGGATCGATGAAAAATCTCATCGCTGTCGAGCAAAATTTAAATTTGAACTATGGGATTTCGTCCCCGCAACGGAGGTACTACTCTTCGCGACGCGACAGACATCATCCGAAATAAAGGTGTCGGTAGGGTGAGCACTTCATCGAAAGTGTAACAATGTCTGTTGGCGCGCTATGTTCCGAATAGAAAGAGAGTCTGTTCTTGAGTGTAGAGGGCGCTAAGGTAGCAGACGATGGAGAATGAAAACAGAGAGAGGAACATTCAGAGTCTGATGGCGGTAGATGACAGATCGTCTCCGTGAGTCAGCTGAATAAAGAGCCGTGGTTGAAGTCACAGAACCCTCCGACTACTCTGTGTTCAGTAGCCTAGAGAGAGAGCAGGAGAGCTTCTCACAAAAGGGATAATCAGAACTTCGACTGGCTTGGTGATAAAGAGGAAGCCGAAAGGATACTCCACTTCTCAACTTCCACGCCGGTGAGTTCTTCGATCTTCGATCTCCGGAGGCAATCGCCTCGACTACTTGCTCAGCCTAATCACACGATCAGTTTGAGAGAGAAGCCGGCCACTGTACTGAATCCATGAATCGGAGAAATCGAGCTTCGTTTCCCAAGAGATTACGAAATCCGCAGACATCTGGAGCAGCGGGCTCGTCCCGTAACCGTGCAAACCCACGACTGCAAATCCACGACCACCGCCGAGATCCGGAGAAGGTCTAACGGCGACAAGCAGAAGCAACCACACCATCAAATGTGGCCTGTACTCCAGGTGAGAAGAATTTCCATTTCGTCGCTTGAGGATCGGTTCTATACTGCTGAGTTGAGACGACGAACCCGATCACTCAGAATTAGCCTGAAGAATTCTTGCTTCTGCCTCTGAACGGGGTCTAGACAAAAGCACGCAAGGCTTGGGCGGGACCGCCCGGCAGACTCGATTGGTACTTCCCTGGCTCAGAAATCGAGTAGAGCGAAATCTTCTGCTGCGTGTGAGACTGGTTTCTTCCGAAAGTGTACCGACGAATCTGGAATCGGACGCTTCTTGGGCCATGTGGGCCACAGGCCAACGAGAGGATTCAATCCCCAGAATCCTCCCTTCCTCCCGCTCATCTGTCCAAACTTGGTCCATGACCTCCGATCCCCTCATATCCTTAATGTTAGAAGAGATGATTTCCACATCAATTTCATTGACGTCGAGAACGCAAAAGCGTGACTCTCGATTCCGGGAAGGATCAGCACCCGTCGATACATTGCATAGATGGGATAATTTACCAGTTGCACCTGCCTTCGCGGTCGGGAGTAAGTTTATTGACGGCCTAGGGCTCCTTGCTCTAAGAATCCGTGTCGGTGTGCCGAGATTCCTGGAGTAGCCCTGATAATCTGTCCGGGAGCCGCCGTCATGCTCCCCAAAGGCCAATTATTGCCGTAGAGACCTCTCTGACCGCCCGCTCTCTAGAACATGCTACAGAATGCCTTGATTAGTGAGTCTCGACTCTGCTCGACTTCAAGCGATTTCATCGCTTTCGAAGATATCTAAACGAGTCATCTCGCGCACGATTCATCTTTCCCGAGGTAGACTTGCTCCGCCATGGAGGATTTTTTTTGATGCAGTAGTAATCGGTTTATTTGGCAAGGTTTACAAAAACTTTTTTTTTATCACAGATGTTGACGCGAGAACTTTATTTCCTGGGAAATAGCATTAGTCGTGCGTGACTCTAACAACACATCTCATTTTCTAGTTGCGCTAAAATCTTCACCGATGATGGAGCTCGGTCCATCAATCAATGTCACTACAGAGGGTCGCAATGGCAGAGTCCTTGTCCTATGTCCAGCACCGACGGGTGGTCGAGTGGTTGGCGCGTTTGTCACTTCTCGTGCAAACGTGCGTTTCACTTCGTGAAATGCCGCAAAGACGCCGCTCGCGCGGGAGGCGGTGTGGGTTCCATCCCTGCTGCCGGAAAAATATGCAGGTACTCGGCCTTGATCCTCCTGGGTACATTTGCTCTATGGATCCGTCCTCGGAAGCAATGTGAATAACAGTACCCGGGACGTTAAACCTTGGCTGTGTGGATCAGCCCGAGAAAGTTTGTCCTATGCCTAGACGAGGATCTCACGCTACCGATTGAAGAAGATCATCGGATCTTCGGCAAGGCAAATCTCGTCTATTTCGAACATGATCGCGAGATTGCGGTTCGAGTGCGGAACTCGAAATTCATCGCTCCACCGGGTGGTTGGACAGACCGGACATACATCGCGTCCGACGGACAGGGCAGCTCAACGCCCGCCGCGTACGTGGCTTTGTAGGTCGGTTTTTTTTTCATTTCATTCCTTTTTTCGCTCGAATCTGTTTGGACAGTGTGAAAACCACCTGTGCTCATTGCAAACTCTTCATCCTCGTCATCGTCCTCCTCACTAGATTCCTCCCGGCCGCCTTCAGCTTGCACCTCCCGAACGTCTTCAAGCTCCTGGACTCCTCGGACGTCCTGAACTTCCGGCACTACCGGTGGCATGTCCCTCGGACTG